CCCCCCCCCCCCCCCCCCCCCCCGCACTCTTTGCCCACGGGGGCAAACGATTCGCTGGAACAATCGAAATCAACAGATACAGCACCCCAACACGACAGCGAGGCTTTCTCCTGTCTCCCCTCCTCTTGGTGTTGGCCCCCGTGCCATTGTTTCCAACCCTGGCTCTAATCCTATAAACCACACGCGGCTCGTAGCTGCCATTTTCAACCCGAGTCACTACTGCGAAAGAGCCACCTACCACCCCGCCTACCCTCCTTCTCATCCTTCCCAAAACATTATCCCATCCAACCCTGCGCTCGAAGACCTCGGATGATACTGTACCCCCGTGTGGGCGAGATCCAACATGGGACACGTAAATGCACTTTGGAGCCAAAATTCAGCGTTGTTTTACCCACGAGACAAGGCAGCCACTTCATCGCCCACCCCCTCTCCCAAACCACTACTTTCCGCCCGCCCCCCTAAGAGGGGGGGGTAAGATGGAAGCTAGCCACCACGAATATGCCAGCACCCAGGAAAACCAGCAACAAACCAGCAACTAAACATGAGAGAGGAGGGGAGAAATCGAACAGGATTCAACAAATGCAAAGGAGGGCAAAACCCTCGTACGGCAGGCTACGCTACCGCTGCTGCCATTTGAGGAGATCTAAGTAGGCGGGAAGATCTCAAGGCCGGCCGGGCCAGGTGGGTCTGTCTGGCAAGCGACCCCTCCCCAACTACACACCCCTGCAGTCATCAAAGCGAAGGGCGTACCCCCCACTCCCTCCCTCTCCACGTCCCAGGTAGGTACCATGGCTCCGCGGGATAGATATTTGCCACATCGGTTGTCGGTTGACAAGCCCCTCTTTGTTCCTTCCTCTGACGATGACTTTCCCCTACTCTGTCGAACCCGTAGAATACCATGTCATCACCTCTCCTCCCCACGCGCTAGTATAGCAGTGGAAAATCTTCCCCGGACATCCGTGATATCAAATCCCAGAGTGCTAGCTAACCCTTTTGCCCCGCCCCCTCCCCCCGTCTCTCTCTTTCTTCCATCATGTGCGCAGCGTGAAGCGCGGCGTGCGTGGAGTACGCGGCGTCATCTGCTCTCTGCCGTCCAGCGGCATGTCCATCATCATCGTCTTGAACTCGTCGTAGTTGATCGCTCCCTCGCCCGAAAGGTTCACGTCGCCCATGATCTCGCGAGCGTGCTCCTCCGCGCCGAAGATCTTCACCAGGTTCTGCAGGGTGATCTGTGTGGGGGGGGGGGATACGCACGTTTTGTGCCTGAACGGTTAGGCCTTTGACAACTCGTCCTCGAGAGGACGGGAGCACTGTTCCCACGGGACCCATCACCGATGGCCAACCGTGGGGGGTGGAATCATTGTATTCGATTGCGTTGGGCTATGTGCACGGTTGATTGGGCCAGATCGACAAACCAAGCGCGGTACGAGTGCCTCCCTGCCGTGGGAAAAAAAAAAAACACGACTATCCGCGACTGTTGGCGCGACTCCCCTATGCCATTCTCTTCCCTATCGCAGTTAGAGGTTGGGGAGTAGACGTTGTGACAATCATGCTCTTTCCATGTCATCTATTCTTCGTACAGCTCTCCGTCCATCCGACGGCCGACAACTCAAATACAAAACCCGCACGAAGACCGGACCCTGTCGTTCAGTAAACTCCGCGCCCCCCGCGTCGAGGGGGGCCGCTGACTAGCCGCTGAATAACAAAGCGTAATCGCGTGTGCTGATTGTCCCGCTTCCTTTAAACCGAAAAATTCTCAATGGCCAGCCGGTTGTACGTATCGCGCGGTCGATGCTGATACCAAAAGCAACACCTCCATCCACCAACAAGC